CAGCCACTGACCGATCAATACTGTCTGAGCCTCACACCACAGTGAGCCCTGTGGGCCTTGTGTTACAGTAATGCCATTACCTGGTCCTCTCGAGGCAGCGGTGGTCTCCTCTAGACTAGAGCAGGAGGGTGTGGCAGTTGGCAGGTAAGATAGTCATTTCTATAGAGAGGAGAGAAGAAGATTACTTTATCAATTGTACACAAGGTTCAACGGAAATTAGACGTCCACTTATATCCCAACCGCTGAGAACCAACAACAGAGTCTGTCATACTGTAAACAACAACACCCTCTCTACTGTGTGAGGTCATAGTGTAACAACAACAAACACATCTCTACTGTGTGAGGTCCATAGTGTAAACAACAACCACATCTCTACTGTAAGGTCATAGTGTAAAAACAACAACACATCTCTACTGTGAGTGGCATAGTGTAAACAACAAACACATCTCTACTGTGAGGTCATAGTGTAACACAACAACACATCTCTACTGTGTGAGGTCATAGTGTAAACACACACACTCTCTACTGTGAGGTCATAGTGTAAACAACAACACATCTCTACTGTGAGGGCATAGTGTAAACAACAACACATCTCTACTGTGAGGTCATAGTGTAAACAACAACACATCTCTACTGGTGAGGGCATAGTGTAAACAACAACACATCTCTACTGTGAGGTCATAGTGTAACAACAACACATCTCTACTGTGAGGGCATAGTGTAAACAACAACACATCTCTACTGTGAGGTCATAGTGTAAACAACAACACATCTCTACTGTGTGAGGTCATAGTGGTAACACAACAAACAATCTCTACTGTGAGGTCATAGTGTAAACAACAACACATCTCTACTGTGTGAGGTCATAGTGTAAACACAACACATCTCTACTGTGTGATGTCATAGTGTAAACAACAACACCATCTCTACTGTGTGAGGTCATAGTGTAAACAACAACACCTCTCAAACTGTGTGAGGTCATAGTTGTAAACAAACAACACATCTCTAACTGTGTGATGTCCATAGTGTAAACAACAACACATCTCTACGGTGTGAGGTCATAGTGTAAAAACAACACACATCTCTACTGTGGTGATGTCATAGGTAAACAACAACACCTCTCTACTGTGTGAGGTCCATAGTGTAAAACACACCATCTCTACTGTGAGGTCATAGTGTAAACAACAACACTCTCTACTGTGTGATGTCATGTGTAAACAAAACAACACCCTCTCTACTGTGTGAGGTCATAGTGTAAACAAACACCCTCTCTATCAGAAAACAGATGGAAGTTGTTGGTCTTTGGGTAGTAAAGCTTGGCTTGTGCAACGCTGCTAGGGTCCCAAATGCCACCCTGTTAACTACATTTTTACATCACATTTGACCAGTGCCCTATCAAAGTAGTGCACTATTAGGGGGATAGGGTTCCACTTGGGACGGGCTGCTTATCTTTCCCCCTGCTGCCTGCACGACTGCTTTGCTACATTCCATGATGGTTTGGAGTCAGGGAGGTAAGGGAGGTACGGAGTCGGGAGGGTAGGGAGGTAGGGGAGTAGGGAGGTAGGGAGGACGGAGTCCAGGGGTAGGAGGTACGGAGTCAGGGAGGTAGGGAGGTAGGGGAGTAGGGGAGGGGAGGGGCCCGGGGTCAGGAGGGTAAAGGGTGTACAAATCAGGGGGTATGGTAGGGTACGGGTTTAGGGGGTAGGGGGGTAGGGGGAAATTGGGAGGTAGGGAAAGGGAAAGGAGGGCCCGGGGGGGGGAAAGGGGGTAAAAGGAGGGCGGGAAAGGGAGGGGGGTAGGGGAGTGGAAGGTAGGGGGGGTACGGAGTTTAGGGAGGGGAGGGATTTCGGAGGGCAGGGAGGGAGGGGGGTAGGGGGGTAGGGGGGGTTGGGGGGTATAAGGGGGGGTAGGAAGGGTTTGGGAGGTGGGGTAGGGAAAGGGAGGGAGGGACCCCGGGGTCAGGGGGGGGTTTGGGTTACGGATTCCAGGGTTTTTGGGTAGGGGCGGGGTCGGGAGGTAGGGGGTCGGGGGGAGGGGGGTAGGGGCCTATGCGGTAATGGGGGTTGGGTTTTGGGGGGGTAGGGAGGTGGGGGGTAGGGAGTCGGGGTGGGCGGTAGGGGGTAGGGGGAGGGAGGGGGGCCGTGGGGGGCCGTGGGGGTGGGGGTAGGGAAGGTTGGGGGCGTTTTGGGAGTAAGGGGACGGTAGGGAAAGTCGGGGGTTTGGGATAGGGGGTAAAGGGGCCAAGGAAATAGGGGGATAGGGCGTTGGGGAAGGGATTAGGGGGGGAAAGGGAAAGGGCGGGGATTGGCGGTTAGGGCAAGGGCTGTGGGGTTTTTTTTAGTAGGTAGGATTTAGTTTGGGGGCGTTTTGGTGGGGTTGGGAAATTTTCCCCTGGGAGTAGGGGTTTTTGTGTGGGGTAAGGGGCCCCCGGGGAAGGGGGAAAAGGGGGGGGGAGGTAGGGGGTGGGAGTTTCGGGGGTCGGGGGTAAAAGGGGTCATGGATGTAAGGGGATACGGAAGTAGGGGAGGGGTGAGGGAGGGGGTGGGGTGGGAGGTAGGGGGCCCCGGAATTTTGGGGAGGTAGTGGGGTTGGGGTTTTTGGAAATGGGGGAGGGTTAGGAAGGGGGTAGGTAGGGGAGTAGGAAGGGAAAGGGGGGGCCTGGGGGGAAGGGGGGGTAATTTTTTGGGGGTTTTGGAGTTTGGGGGTAGGGGGGGTTTTGGGTTGTTAGTTGGGGAGGTAGGGGGGGGGGTGGGAGGTAGTGGGTAGGGGGGTAAAGGGAGGTAGGGGGGGTTTGGGGAGGGGCAAAAACCTTTTCACACACCCCCCCCCCCAGGTTTCAGGGAAACCAAATTTCCCAGGGTTTTTGAGTCTCCAGGGGTTCATCTTTATTGCCCCCCGTCTGTGTGATCTCCGGAGTCTCTTGGGTTGCGGGCTGGGTGAAATCTCCCGGGGTCATCTTTTTTTCTGGGCTGTGTGAAACTCCCGGGTCATCTTTATTTCTTGGGGTTTTTTTGAGTCTCCAGGGGCCCTCTTGAAATTTTTTGGGGCTGTTACTCCAGGAGGCCCTCTTGATTGCCCGGGGGTTGTGAGTCTCCAGGAGTCCCTCTTGATTGGGGTGGGGTGTGTGGGCTCCAGGAGTCAAACTTGAAATTTCTGGGCTGTGTGAGTCCCAGGAATTTCCTCTTGGGTTTTTCTGGGCTGTGGGGAAGGGCTCCAGTAAATCATCTTGATTTGGGTGGGCGTGTGAAGGGCTCCAGGTCCTCTTGATTGCTGACTGTGTTAAATGGGGTTTTGGGGTTTTAGTGTGTGTTTTGGGGTGTGGGTTAGGGTGACCAAAAGATTTCCCCCAAGTCCTCCCTTTCCATTACACAAATGGGTTGGGGCGGACTTCATAACTTTCACTGGGGCTTACCCCATACTTTTACTGGGGTTTTCTCATTTTCCCCTGGGATTT